AAGTCAGAGTACTCATACAATCATCCAATCAAACAAACATGGCTAGGGTTCCTCAAAACCTAAGTGAAGGGAAGTTACTCCATAGAGAAGAGAGAGACTGCAGTAAGAATCTTCAGATGATTAGTCTTCAAGTCCGGGCTTGTTCCTCGAGCTTCCAAGGCGAAGAAACCCTCCAATTCCACTCTTAGAATGCCCTCAAATCGCCCTTTCTCTCTTTGGTTCGTCCCTTGGGTGTTTGGGATCCAAAACCCAGCTCCCCCTTTCCTTTGGCTTCAATCTGCCTAAAAAACCCGATTCTGGGCAAAACACTGTTGCGGACACGGCCGTGTTTCACTTTTGCCCGCCCGTGTTTTGCCCCGTGTTAAAAACACGCCCGCGCGCGTCGGCCAAAACACGGTCGTGCCTAAATATGGGCACGGCCGTGTTTTGATTTAGGCGCGCCCGTGTTTTTACTGCCGAACCTGTTCCCCTATATTCAATGCTTCGTTTCTCCCTCGTTCGGACTCCGAATCAGTCGCCGTTTGATCCCAGACGCTCGTAGTATTGTCCTCTTTATTTTAATGACAAGCTTGCATGATTCTTTGTCCATAAAGTGAGGTAGAAATCCATTCTTCTTCAGTTCATGCCCGAGTTTCTTCTCCCGAATCGCCAATTGATCTCTGATTGACTTGAAACTTGCGCCTATGTTTCACTTTATGTGCTTAGGACCTGAAATGTGACAAAGGAACACAAACTAGCGTAAAATAAACCAAAGAAGCGATAATTAAAGCTCAAACGATCAAGAAACAAAGGGGAAAACATGTGCAAATATCGAGTAATCAAATCCCCCCACACTTAACCGTTTGCTTGTCCCCAAGCAAACCTAACCCAAACCAATGCAGCTCTCCAGAACTCTATAGCAACACGCACCATTGATCGTTGATAGAGGATTTTCTAGATCATTTAGCAGCTTACGAGGTCAACCGATGCACAAGTCATCTCATAGCTTCTTCGGCGAGAACGCTAGTCTCGAGTCGACATCATGACAAATAGTGATCAGAGGACAAATGAATCGTGGACGAAGAGACTCTCAAAAACAAAAGATCATGGACTCAAATTTTTCAAGGTGCTCTTATTTTCTTTTTGAAGACGGTTGGAACCCCTTTTTTCTTTTCTTTTGTTCTCTTTTTTTTTTCAAGGGTTCCAACCCGATTTTCAGAAAACGGGGCTCCCACCTAGCAAAGGTTTTGCGGGAACCCGACTCTTACCGGCCATGCCGGGAGCAAATGTCTCGAGCCTCGTGCGGGGAAAAGGAATGTAAGGGGGCTGGAGGTAGTAGGTGGAAATTGGGAACGATTCCCGTCTCCCCTTACACACTTTGTCCCTATTTGCACGGGAGACGTTATTTTAAAGCACATTTTCGAGCACCTTTTATTTCAAAACATGATACAGGAGTCCATGACAGGTAGAGAGTCCACAACACCACACAATTCAAGGGTCCTAAGATCACTAATTCACACAATCAACCAACACAATATGAAGAAGAAAAGAGACTTCTTAAATGCATCAACGTCCTCCATAGTGCTACACTACCTCCCTAGGTTGCATATTACTATAAAGACTGTCAATTCAAAGCATACTGAGCAGGAAATTGTAAGGAACACGTACTTGGAGCCCTCAAATCGAAATTTGGACAGTGGACTAGGATCCAAGCACACAAACAGCCAAACATTCACACGCATTCATAATCGAACAAACACCCCCCCACACTTAAGCACGACATTGTCCTCAATGGAGGAAAGATAAGGAGGGTAGAACGAAGTTACAAGATCAATGGTGAATGATGGTGGACGGGGCAGGCTGTGCATTCTAGGAGGAGAGATTAGTCGAAACACAAACACCACACAAAATCTCACAAAGGTTGAGTTATTGACTCTAAAATAAATAAATAAAAACTGACTCAACCGAGGAGAAAAAGAAAAAGAAATGCAAACCGACTGGTTGGGTTGCCTCCCAACAAGCGCTTCTTTCACGTTGTGAGCCGGACGATAGTTCCTAAGTTTCGGTCCACCGCAAAACCTCCTTGAAGTTGAGGTTATCGTCAATGAGGTGGAGTCTCAAGTCACGAGCTTGTGGTGTGGCAGGTGATGAAGGCTCATGCACTTGATGCAGATGAAGTCTCCACCCTCGAGACCTCTTCTTCTCTCCTCTCGTCTCATTGCCCCAAACTAGATATGACAGCATCGATTTACCACCATCGCGTCCACCAAGAGGGACCGATGTCGATGTGGCCTTGGTATGGCAAAGAGACACTGCAAATGGGTCCTTGCCAAGCAGCTCCTCGAAATTCGGTGGAGATATCACAAGTAACTCATAGCCGGTGCAAGCCTCTTCCACCTCAACTTCGTCCTCAGCTTGGACGCCAATTGCTTCTGCAACCTCCCTTTCTTCTTCTTCAACCTCCCTTTCTTCTTCATGTGGTATAACCCCTGGGAAATGATCAAGAACTATTCCTGCTTCACTTTCGTCATCCTCCACAACTTCTTTCTGCACCATTTCTTGCTCTTCTTCTTCTAGCACGGATTGGAGAGCAAGTTGCCAAGCAATTTCTTTCATGAGATCTTCTTGCATCTCCTCACTCATGCCCACCTCTTCAAAGCTCAGTTTGGGATGTGGGAAGGTGTGGTCGGCTACGACAGGACACTCCGGATCATGATCATCACGGGAGCTCTCCGTGACAACTTCAGTGTGCTCCACAATGTCCTTGTAGCCTTCTTCGTCCTCCTCCTCTTCTTGTATGGTAGCAGAAGGGTGATCTGGAGCAGGTTGTGCCAAAGATCGCTCAAGATCATCGGCGCTCTTCTTAAGGCTCAGGAGGATCTCCTCTGTTTCACGAAAGGCCTGGACACAATGATCCATCCTGGAGCATGATCTCTCACAATCTCGAGCAAACTGCTCCATGAGAAGCCTCAATTCATAGTTTGGATCTGGCTATGGAGTGTAGCATGGCTCTGTAGAATGGCCCGTGAAGGCCGCCATGGGTAACTCCAGCGCCGATGGCCCTTCTGGTTGTGGGAGAAATTCTTCTTGATAATGAGGTTGTTCTTGATATGCCCAGGGGTCTGGTTGTTCTCCGTATTAAGGGGGTTGGTACTGGAACCCGAATCCATAGTATTCTCCTCCTAGATTGCTCCAGGGAGTCTCGGGGTAATACCACTCGGATGGTGGTGGATACCCCCAATGATTGGAGAAGCCATGAGGATCCATGATTCAAATATGCACCAACAGAAACAAAAACACCCAAGTGAAAAGCAGGGGTGGAAAAGAAAAGAAAAACGCTAAAGTAACAAACTTCTGCCTTTCCTAATAATCTAGAAAGTCCCCGGCAACGGCGCCAAAAACTTGACTCGCTATGACACAACTCCTATCAATGGCCAAGTGTAACCAATGGAAGGGACTGCAGTATAGTGGCTCAAGTAATAAATATCGAATCCACGGGTCTCTAGAGTTACTATTACTCAGCTTCAGTTCATTATTTAGCAAACCAGTTTAATAAGGAAGAACTAAAACTACTCTAGCAAACTACAGTTAAAGTTAATCTAATTACAAGTTGGGAACTCACTTAGGTATGATTCCCCCTAGCCACTAGCCAGATCAACGATTGATGATTTCTAACTTGTTTCACTTTCATTCACAAATCGGAGAATCCTTGACTAGACCTTGAGTCTCGACTAAAGGAACAAGGCCCTCTTGAGTCAATTGCCTAGAGGGACGTATCCTTCTCTAGAACAACCGATCAAGGCGTTCTGAACTAGACTCCCTCTATTGAAAGAGGTTCTCAATCGATACAAAGCAGCGAATAAACCCTCGACTAAAGCAATCGATCCACTACTATCAATCTATGGTGCTCTATTGACCTAATAAGGTATTCGCTCTCATAGGATCAAAGCAGAATCAATAATCTCGACTAAAGCAGAATTGAATCATGAAAACATGCATAGATTGAATATGAACTCAAGGTTATCAAGTCAGAGTACTCATACAATCATCCAATCAAACAAACATGGTTAGGGTTCCTCAAAACCTAAGTGAAGGGAATTTACTCCATAGAGAAGAGAGAGACTACAGTAAGAATCTTCAGATGATCAGTCTTCAAGTCCGGGCTTGTTCCTCGAGCTTCCAAGGCGAAGAAATCCTCCAATTCCACTCTTAGAATGCCCTCAAATCGCCCTTTCTCTCTTTGGTTCGTCCCTTGGGTGTTTGGGATCCAAAACCCAGCTCCCCCTTTCCTTTGGCTTCAATCTGCCTAAAAAACCCGATTTTGGGCAAAACACTATCGTGGACACGGCCGTGTTTCACTTTTGCCCGCCCGTGTTTTGCTCCGTGTTAAAAACACGCCCGCGCGCGTGGGCCAAAACACGGTCGTGCCTAAATATGGGCACGGCCGTGTTTTGATTTAGGCGCGCCCGTGTTTTTACTGCCGAACCTGTTCCCCTATATTCAATGCTTCGTTTCTCCCTCGTTCGGACTCTGAATTAGTCGTCGTTTGATCCCAGACGCTCGTAGTCTCGTCCTCTTTATTTTCATGACAAGCTTGCATGATTCTTTATCCATAAAGTTTGGTAGAAATCCATTCTTCTTCAGTTTATGCCCGATTTTCTTCTCCCGAATCGCAAATTGATCTCTGATTGACTTGAAACTTGCGCCTATGCTTCACTTTATGTGCTAGGACCTGAAATGTGACAAAGGAACACAACCTAGCGTAAAATAGACTAAAGAAGCGATAATTAAATCTCAAACGATCAAGAAACAAATGGGAAAACATGTGCAAATATCGAGTCATCACTGTTCATACACAGAATCTGGTATCCCATCGCCCTCCCACATATCTTCGTGCAGACACACGCGATATGTATCATCCGCAACCACTTGAAAGGGATCCACAGGCGAGACCGCAGAGATGGTCAAAGAGGGGGAGTCCGCCACGAAATTTTCAAAATTCACGGACTCACTTCGCGCCCTGTTAGTACTATCTGAGGACAGCACAGCCACATGAGCACCTTGGATGATGTCATGTTTGACCCCCCTTGTTGTTGAGTCTCAACACTTAGCCAAATTACTCACCACCATTTCTACTTGGGTGGTCGACGCTTGACCCTCTTGCATGACATCATGCTTGACCCTCTTGCATGACATCATGCTTGACCCCCCTGTGGTTGGGTTTCAACACTTAGCTGGATTTCTCTTCCTTTGTCGCCACATTCTAAGGGTATTCGTGTGCTTGATGGCCCCCATTGTATGACATCTTGTTTGACACCCCGGTGCAAGGTAAGTGGGCAACATGGTTGATAGACCGTCATTTACACATGTTTTTACCCCCATTCTTACACCGTTTGAGGTGTTGATTCTCGTGTTTTAGGCCGATTTCACGCTAGGTTGTGCTTGTTTGTGATGTTTCAGGTCCTAGTACGTGAATGAAGGCTTAGGAGCGAGTCTGGGGTCGATTGGATGAAGAACGGACGAATGGCGAGGTTTTTGGGGAGCTGCACGGCCAGACCACGGAGGCTGCACGGCCGTGCACGTGAGCAATATGGCCGTGCGCCTTATGCCGAGGACACGCACGGGCAACCCCTGAAGCTCGCACGGCCGTGCACCCTGGCCGTGCGAGAGGGCTGAAGTTCGACTAAATGACACGCTGCGTTTTGAGTTGCACGGCCAGAATGGTGATATGCACGGCCGTGCACCCTGGCCGTGCGAGTCGGGATTTCCTGGTTTTAAGCCAAATTCCGAACCAAAGAAGAGGGAGAGCTGGGTTTTTGGATCCCAAACACCCAAGGGACGAACCCTAGAGAGAGAGAGCGACTTGGGAACATTCTTGGAGCTATTTTGGAGGATTTCTTCGCCATTGGAGCTCGGGAATCAAGCTTGGAGATGGAGATTGAAGATCTAGATCAGATTTCTGCAGTCTCTCTCTTCTCTATGGAGTAACTTCCCTTCACTTAGGTTTTGAGGAACCCTAGTTCCATGAGTTAGGATCTTTCTTGTATGAAGTTTTGGATGCTATATTGTTTGATTATAATCGAATGATGCATGTTTATTGAGTCAATTGAAGTCTGATCAACTTTTCCTGATTCCTGCTGCAATCTGAGATAGATAGAATCTGATTAGGTTGCTAGAGTCTCATCATTCGATAGTAGGAGATTGGCTATACGAGAGTTAGCCAGTTTACTGCTTTGTACTGGAATCCAATTCCAGTAGTGGAGTTCTGTGCTTATTGCTTCAGCTTTCTATCCCGGTGAAGACTAGTCGTCTGCCGGATAGTTAGACTGAGAGGGCTTGGTCAGCTTAAGAGATTCCAAGCTACTGTCGGATCTTCCGCAGTTTAATCAACAGTAAATCAACCAAAAGGAATTACAACTTGGACCTAATTGAGGAGCTAGGGGGAATCATACCTAAGTGAGTTCCCAAACTGTAATTAGTAGTTTTACTTAGTTGAGTTAGTAGAGTAGTTTAGTTAATCAACCCTTAATCTAGTTTGCTAGATAATGAACTGAAGCTGAGTAATAGTAACTCTAGAGACCCGTGGATTCGATATTTATTACTTGTGCCACTATACTGCAGTCCCTTTCATTGGTTACACTTGGCCATTGTTAGGTGTTGTGTTTTAGAGCATCAAGTTTTTGGCGCCGTTGCCGGGGACTTTCTAGATTATTAGGAAAGGCGGAAGTTTGTTACTTTAGCGTTTTTCTTTTGTTTTCCACCCTTGCTTTTCACTTGGGTGTTTTTTGTTTTTGTTGGTGCAGATTTGAATCATGGATCCTCATGTCTTCTCCAACAATTGGGGGTATCCACCACCACCCGAGTGGTATTACCCTGAGACTCCCTACAGCAATCAAGGAGGAGAAGACTATGGATTCGGGTTCCAGTACCAACCCCCTTTCTACGGAGAACAACCAGACCCCTGGGCATATCAAGAACAACCTCATTACCAAGAAGACTTTCTCCCACAACCAGAAGGGCCATAGGAGCTGGAGTTACCCATGGCGGCCTTCACGGGCCACTCTGCAGAGCCATGCTACACTTCACTAGAAGATCCGAACAAACAATTAAGGCTTCTCGTGGAGCAGTTTGCTCGAGACACTGAGAAATCATGCTCCAAGATGGATCTTCAAATCAAAGCCCTTGCCACTTCCGATCCCTCATTTCTCCATGATATGGAGGAGACTGTTCAGCGCTCAGCGAAGCAAACAGAGTGGGTGAAGCAAGTTTGCTCACATCTTGCTCAAGATCACCTTTCTGCTACCACGCTAGAAGAGGTGGAGGATGACAAAGGCTATGGGAGCGTTGAGGAGCCTACAGAAGTTATCACAGAGAACTCCCATGATAACCATGATCGGGAAAGTCCTTTGGTTGCAGACCACACCTTTCCTCATTTATGCTCTAACATGCTGGGCCCGTGCGAGGAGATGCAAGATGATCCCATTGAAGAAATTGCTTGGCGACTTGCTCTCCAATCTGTTCTAGAAGAAGAAGAGCGAGCAAGGATGAGGAAGAAAGTTGTGGATGATGAGGAAGAAAGAAAAGAAGAGGTGGTTCTTGATCTTTTCCTAGGGGAGAGACCACATTTTGAAGAAGGAAGGGGGGTTGAGGAAGCAATTGGCGTCCAGGCTGAGGATGAAGTTGAGGTGGAAGAGGCATGCACCGGCCATGAGTTGCAAGTAATATCCCCACCAAACTTTGAGGAACTGCTTGGCAAGGACCCATTTGCAGTGTCTCTTTGCCAGACCAAGGCCACATCGACATCAGTCCCTCTTGGTGGACGCGATGGTGGCCAATCGATGCTGTCTTATCTGGTTTGGGGCAATGAGACGAGAGAAGAGAAGAAGAGGTCTCGAGGGTGGAGACTTCATCTGCATCAAGTACATGAGCCTTCATCACCTGCCATACCACATGCTCGTGACTTGAGACTCCACCTCATCGACGAGAACCTCAACTTCAAGGAGGTTCTAGCATGGACCGAAACTTAGGAGCCATCGTCCGGCTCACGACGTGAAAGAAGCGCTTGTTGGGAGGCAACCCAACCAGTCGGTTTGCATTTCTTTCTCTATTTCTCCTCGGTTGAGTCAGTTTTGTTATTTGATTTTAGAGTCAATAACTCAACCTTTGTGAGATTTTGTGTGGTGTTTGTGTTCTGATTACTCTCTCTTCCTGGACTGCACTGCCTGACCCGTACATCATCATTCACCCTTGATCTGGTAACTTCGTTCAACCCTCCTTATCTTTCCTCCATTGAGGACAATGTCGTGCTTAAGTGTGGGGGAGTTAGGTGTTCGATTATGTATGCGGGTGAATGTTTGGCTGTTTGTGTGCTTGGAGCCTAGTCCACTGTCTAAATTTTTAAATTTGAGGGCTCCAAGTACGTGTTTCCTTGCAATTGCCTGCTCAGTATGCTTTGAATTGACAGTCTTTACAGTAATATGCAACCTAGGGAGGTAGTGTAGCACTATGGAGGATGTTGATGCATTTAAGAAGTCTCATTTCTTCTTCATATAAAGTTGGTTGATTGAGTGAATTAGTGATCTTAGGACTCTTGAATTGTGTGGTGTTGTGGATTTTCTACCTGTCATGGACTCTTGTATCATGTTTTGAAAGTAACAGGTGCTCGAAAATGTGCTTCAAAATAAACGTCTCCCGTGCGAATAGGGCGAAAGTGTGTAAGGGGAGACGGGAATTCGTTCCCAATTTCCACCTACTACCTCCAGCCCCCTTACATGTCTTTCCCCCGCACGAGGCTCGAGACATCCGCTCCTGGCATGGCCGGTAAGAGCAGGTTGGGACCCTTGAAAAAGAAAAGAAAAGAAAAATATCAGAAAACAAGCAAAACAGGAAAAAAAAAAGGGGGTTCCAACCATCTTCAAGAATAAAATAGAGCACCTTGAAAAATGTGAGTCCATGATCTTTTGTTTTTGAGAATCTCTTCATCCACAATTCATTTGTCCTCTGTTCACTATTTGCCGTGATGCCGACTCGCCGAAGAAGTTATGAGATGACTTGTGCGTCGGTTGACCTCGTAAGTTGCTAAATGATCTAGGAAGTCCTCTACCTACGATCTGGGTTGTTTGTTGCTATAGAGGTCTGGAGAGTTGCATTGGTTTGAGTTAGGTTTGCTTGGGGACAAGCAAACGGTTAAGTGTGGGGGAGTTTGATAGACCGTCATTTACACATGTTTTTACCCCCATTCTTACACCGTTTGAGGTGTTGATTCTCGTGTTTTAGGCCGATTTCACGCTAGGTTGTGCTTGTTTGTGATGTTTCAGGTCCTAGTACGTGAATGAAGGCTTAGGAGCGAGTCTGGGGTCGATTGGACGAAGAACGGACGAATGGCGAGGTTTTTGGGGAGCTGCACGGGCAGACCAGGGAGGCTGCACGGCCGTGCACGTGAGCAATATGGCTGTGCGCCTTATGCCGAGGACACGCACGGGCAACCCCTGAAGCTCGCACGGTCGTGCACCCTGGCCGTGCGAGAGGGCTGAAGTTCGACTAAATGACACGCTGCGTTTTGAGTTGCACAGCCAGAATGGTGATATGCACGGCCGTGCACCCTGGCCGTGCGAGTCGGGATTTCCTGGTTTTAAGCCAAATTCCGAACCAAAGAAGAGGGAGAGCTGGGTTTTTGGATCCCAAACACCCAAGGGACGAACCCTAGAGAGAGAGAGCGACTTGGGAACATTCTTGGAGCTATTTTGGAGGATTTCTTCGCCATTGGAGCTCGGGAATCAAGCTTGGAGATGGAGATTGAAGATCTAGATCAGATTTCTGCAGTCTCTCTCTTCTCTATGGAGTAACTTCCCTTCACTTAGGTTTTGAGGAACCCTAGTTCCATGAGTTAGGATCTTTCTTGTATGAAGTTTTGGATGCTATATTGTTTGATTATAATCGAATGATGCATGTTTATTGAGTCAATTGAAGTCTGATCAACTTTTCCTGATTCCTGCTGCAATCTGAGATAGATAGAATCTGATTAGGTTGCTAGAGTCTCATCATTCGATAGTAGGAGATTGGCTATACGAGAGTTAGCCAGTTTACTGCTTTGTACTGGAATCCAATTCCAGTAGTGGAGTTCTGTGCTTATTGCTTCAGCTTTCTATCCCGGTGAAGACTAGTCGTCTGCCGGATAGTTAGACTGAGATGGCTTGGTCAGCTTAAGAGATTCCAAGCTACTGTCGGATCTTCCGCAGTTTAATCAACAGTAAATCAACCAAAAGGAATTACAACTTGGACCTAATTGAGGAGCTAGGGGGAATCATACCTAAGTGAGTTCCCAAACTGTAATTAGTAGTTTTACTTAGTTGAGTTAGTAGAGTAGTTTAGTTAATCAACCCTTAATCTAGTTTGCTAGATAATGAACTGAAGCTGAGTAATAGTAACTCTAGAGACCCGTGGATTCGATATTTATTACTTGTGCCACTATACTGCAGTCCCTTTCATTGGTTACACTTGGCCATTGTTAGGTGTTGTGTTTTAGAGCATCAAGTTTTGTATCTGGTGCTTGACCCCCCTTGCATGACATCATGCTTGACCCCCTTGGATGATGTCATGTTTAACGTGTGGGTGCTTGGTGGGTCGCGTGGTGTGTTTTGAGGTGCCTAGCATCACTTTATGGATAGCCCAAAATTCTATCACTTAGGCCCAACTAATTTAATAATATAGTTAAGTTGGCCTTATAAACTATTACCACTCCTTGAAAATAATCAATATGTTATCAAGTGATTTTTTAGTGGTAAACAAATGCCCCCAACTTCTTAGTGCATAAGAATTATGGACTAAATAGTTTGACATCAACTATACCACTTAATTACCCTCGTTGGTTTAATAACAAAATCCAAACACAATAAAAAACACCTCCACACCTTTTGCAATAGTAGATACCATTGGCCTTGCAAATCACAAGCCAAAACCATCCATCTCCTACCCTTCATCGCCATTTGGGGCTCAAGAGGTCGACGCTAATTTTTTTATATGGTAATCTTCCATTCTCCCAAGAACCATGCGAGTCAGTAGCCACCATGTCGCATAATTTTGATTCACTTGGTACATTTTGGCTCCAAAAACCACGTCAACACAAACGATAAAAGATTCTATCTCTGTGGTGGTGGATCAATTTTCGAAGATGGCACATTTCATTCCATGCCATAAACTGACGATGTTGTCAATGTGGCGGATCTGTTCTTCAAAGAGGTGGTACGACTACATGGGATGTCACGTACCATTGTTTCTGATCATGATGCGAAGTTCTTGAGCTACTTTTGGAAGACGCTGTGGAGCAAGCTTAGGACAAAGCTCTTGTTTTCGACTACTTTTCATCCTCAAACAGATGGGCAAACTAAAGTGGTGAATCGTACTCTATCTCAAATTCTTAGAGCCATCATCAAGAGCAACATCAAGATGTGGGAGGACTACCTATCTCACGTGGAGTTTGCCTACAATAGAGTCGTGCATTCAAGAACAAAGTATTCTCCATTCGAGATTGTGTATGGGTGCAATCCGCTTACACCATTGGATTTGACAACTTTACATTAGAAGAAGCAAGTGAACATGGATAGAGCTAATAAAGTGGAGTATGTGAAGCATCTCCATGAGAAAGCTTGGCTGAATATTGAGAGAAGGATGGAGCAGATTTTGAAGAACGTAAAAAAGCATATAAAGGCTCGAAATTTTGAAGCAGGGTGTGGGTGCATATGAGGAAAGAAAGGTTCCCACATCAAAGATGATTCAAGTTTCTACCTAGGAGTGAAGGTACCTTTCAAATCATCTCAAAGGTTGGTACGAATGCATACAAGCTTGATCTGCTTGGAGAATACGACATAAGTGTAACCTTCAATGTTCTTGATCTTGCACCATTTCTGGATGATGATTCGGATTTGAGTGCAAATCCTTTCCAAGATGGAGGGACTAATGAGGTCATTAAGATCAAGCATGCTCAAAATGAAGGACCAATGACTCGTGCTAGAGCTAAAGCATTTTAAGATCACATTAGAGTTATTTGGCTAAGGAGTTAGAAGGCATTAGCTTAGAATTGCTAGAAGGGAAGTCCATCACACTATTGAGCTTTGTGGATCATGAAATTGGGCTCAAAGGGAGGGGAGGAGGGTCGGCCATTGAGAGGAGTCTCAAGGTGTGAATAGAATCATCATTGGATAAAGATCAAGGTGTGAACACCAGGAGGAAGGCGCCATTCAAGGCTAGATTCTAGGAGGAAGTTTGACTAAGTCTTTTTCCTTGTTTGTTAAGGTTTTTCTTTTTTTCCCTTTTCAAGTAGGATTTTTTCCCTAGTTGTTTTGTGTGTAGATTCGTGTGTCTATAAATAGGAGTTGAACCAATGTAATTTTCATTCCAGTTTCATTCAATCAAATACAAGTGAGTTTGTTCGAGTTCAATTGTGAACGGTTCCGCAAGTATCCTTTATTTTTCATGTTATTCAAGAAATAAGAAAACCCCTAAATAGTTCGACGAGTGCAACTCTGGTGTTTTGGTCCAAATTTGAGTGGATTCTCAAATTAGATTTATGTTAGCCATCTTAGGTTTAACTTGGCTTAGTATGGGGTAGTTGTTGACACGTGCTAACCATTAGCAATAATCTGCACAGACTCAAGTGATCAAACTTTTTGAGCGGTTGCCGTGGAACCTTGGTAACTAGTAGAAAACCATTAAGTTGTTAGTTAAACTTTACCTTGTTTTGATTGTTTGTTTTATTTTGTGTTCATGTATGTGTTTTTGTGTGTTTTTGTTATTTCCGTGTTTGCTTCTTTTTGTGCTTTGTTTTTCACCCACTCTTCTCCCCGAAGGGCGGTTTGTGCGTGTTTGATTTTACTTTTAGACTTTTTGTTTGTGTAGAAGCTTTTGAATCATGGATCCTAATGAGTTTAGCAAAGTGTGGGGGGGGGGGGGTACTCATCAATACCCGAAGATGGTTACCACGAGCCTTCATGGAACAATCAAGATGGTCGAAGTAAAGGGTTTGGATTCTCTTACCAACCCCCTTTCCAAGAAGAAGAACCATGCCACTGGGGATATGAATAGGTTTTCTCCTTCCAAGAAGATTTCCTTCCACCACTGGAGCCAAGAAGCGAATTGGAACTCTTGGTGGAGCGGTTCATTTGGGAACCCGAAGCGGGTTCCAATGTGGAACCCTCAACCACCACTCCTAGCGACTCATCTTTTCAACGGTCAACGGAGGAGTTCCTCCGAAAAACGGATAGACAAGGAGATATTTTTGAGCAAGCATGTGCACGAATTGTTCACAATCATCTTCTATCATTTGAAGAAAAAGGAAAGGATGTCGAACATGTGAGAAGGGAAGTTGTGGAAGAGGAAGTGAGCATCAAAGAAGAGGAAGATCTTGAACGTTCCCAAGTGGTGGAACACATTGAAGAAAAGGAAATGGAGGTTGAATAAGAAAATGGCGCCCATGATGAGGATGCGATCGTTGTGGATGAAGCTTCAATAAGTTACATGTGCTATCAAAGCTTTCCACCCGAACTCGATGCACTTTTGGAGAAGGACCCATTTGTAGCTCTTTGCCAAGCCAAGGTCAAACCATATTCGATCCCTCTTGGTGGATGCGATGAAAGTCAATTAAGTGTGCACTACATGGCGTGGGGCAAAGAGAAAAAAGATGAAGGAAAGAAGGCATGGTCTCGTGGGTGGAGCCTCATGACAATTCAAGTTCACGAGACTTCAATCATGGACTCGTCCAATGCCCATGACTTGAGACACCACCTCACCGACGAGAACCTCAACTTCAAGGAGGTTCTATGTTGGATCAAATACTTGAAGATAAACATCCACCGATAAGACTTAAAAGACACACTATTTGGAGGTACTCCAACAACCAGTTGGCATTTCCTTACTTTTTGAAAATAAAACTTGCGTGTTTGGTTTTGCTTTAAATAGTTTTTATAGTTTTAGCTAGTGAATGAATCCCTTCTATGTAAATAATAGAATGATTGATTATTTGAAGACTAGCTAGTTGCTTTAGGAATGGTTGCAAATGTTGTTGTTAAGCAAGTGTGCTAGCCTACCACTGAAGCTACTTGGGGTAATAGAATGGCATGGCTAGCACAATAGGATCATAGAATGCATGCTTATAATTGTGTATGCGCATTTGGAGGCCTAGGTGGGCTTTATCTTTATGAATTTGTGGAGTTTGAATGTCGCCCGCCAAGTGCTTGATGAAATGCCCAAACCACATAACAATTGTTTTTCTCGATCCGTTACTTTTTAGTTGAACTTGTTTGATTAAGATAGACCCTTAGGAGTGTGTTTATGGCTTAGGATTGAATCCTTGATGCACGTTACTTGAGTTTGAAATTTTGGCTCGCTTTTGATTTTGTGCTTCGTTATGTTTTTAGAGCCAAGAGTTCAAGCATTGGTTGTTGTCTAATGAGTTGATTCTAGCCTTAGGCCGGGGTCTAGAAATCTCTTGAAAGACATGTCGCCCTTGTTTTCATGCATATGGACTTCGACCCTAGTCATTACAACATGCATTTCTAAATATGCACCTCTCGTTTCTACATTGTAACACTTAAGTGTGGGGGTGCATAGACTGAACCTAAGGATGGATTTTCTTGTTCAATTGATCTAGTGAGTTTTTTTTTTTTTTTTTGATAATGGTGATTTTATTAATGAGAAGCAAAACAGAAAGAAGGCACAACCCGGGAAATGGTTCAAGAGGAAAGAACCAGGATCCCAAGCAAACCAGACCGCAAGACAAGTAAAAGAAGAAGACAGAAAA